CTACTCCTTTCAACCACAGGTGCCACCCCATATACATAAACTTTTTTACTAGAATTACTAGCAGCTGTTCTAGATACTATGCTCAAATTATTTAATAACACTCATGTGTACTAGTGCTCCTTTCGAATCCCTAAGGAAATTCTGGTAGAAATGGAAATGAATATGGCCACTTTGGGGCAGAAAGACTGTGAAGTCTAACCCTGTTTTCTTTAGCTCATAGGCACCCAGATTAACTTGGTGTCATAAGCCCTAGTCACCTCCAAAAAAAAGAGGGCAAGCCCATAAAGGGGCAAAAAAATAATATGCAACAAAAACTGAAATGAATAATAGTAATGAAGTTATATAAAGCCATTTCCTATGCTAACACATCAAAAAAACTGTTGCCTATGTATTACTCAGATTCACCTGAAATTATCTCAAAGGAAGTGGTAGAGTATTGAGCAACTCTTCATGATACACCATCTTTAAATTATATTCGTAACATTCTAAAAAAAAATGAATGTTGAACTATGCATACTTATGTTTAACTTCAATGATGATTTCTATTGCAAGAACGAAGATAGATCTCATTTATCACAGTCTTATAACTAAGTATTTGGAAAAAATATGGAACGGTGTTTTCCATTAAATTTAACTTCCTACATTAAGATTATTTATTATAATAATCTTATATTGGAAAAGTTTTGACAGCATTAATTTTATTTGTAAAAGTGTGCAATATAAAATATATAATGACTGAGCTAAATAAATCATAACAAATATATAGTTTAGGATCTCAGTGGAGAAAAAAGAACACAGAGATTCCCAAATACTGAATATAAATATTGGCATTAGGGGATATATTTTTATCACAAACGTAAGTAGGATCTTTCATTATAATTTCCTAAGTACAAAGAAAATTAGTAAATTAGTAATAATGTGGCCATGATTAATGAATGCAGTTTAATTTGTATATTTACAAGAAAGCCAAAGTAGCTTAAAGGGTCACTGTAATCTGAAAAAAAATCCTTAAAATAATTATATTCTTTACATGTATACCTCCTACTTTCCTATTTTAGATAGGAAGGCAAAATGGAATTAATCAAGAGAGACAGAATAAAGCAAAATATTTCTCTTTAATCTGATAAATTATTTAAAAAAAAAAAAAAAAAAAAACAACTACCTGCCTTGCCTTCTGCTGGGGTATTCACCTCAATCTGGATTCTGAGAGGCAATTTAATGTCCCCTTACCCCTGGAGTTGATCATAAAATCTTATCCTTCTGTATATCCATCATCCATAATCAAAGTGAAAACCAACTCCTAACTTTCTATTTAAAAATACAAACACAAGCAGCAGTGGAGAAACATAATCAAGACCCCCACGAAGGTGTGCAGAGGTTTGCACAGCGATCTGGATTTGTGCAGTGATGGCTCATCAATCTTATTACTGACAGTGAAAATGAAGTCCTCTCAGGTTCTGAAATGAAGCTTTCATTCTTTTTTTTAAGCCAAATTGAGACAGATTTAGGGCCTTGGTTTAAAAAAGAATTCATTTCTGTAAGCACACAGTCATGAAGTGTGTCTATAAATTTTAAACACACATTTGGAATCTGTTTCATAAAGGCAGCAGAGCCTCTCTAAACTGATCTTACTTAATATATTGACAAATTATGTCTAATTATTAATTGTGCATATGATTAATATGTCATTCTATATGTGTCATTTCTTTCATCAGTCATTTTTATAATACACAAGGTAAAAGAAATATGTGTACACATGTGACTTCAGATCCCTTTCCCTAAATTCTCTGAATAATTACAAAATATTTCAAAGCTATGAGTCTTTCCTTTTTTTGCCTTATAAGTCAGTCTCTTCTTTCATTTCATTAAGAGCATTTCTAATAAAATTTTGCTCTATTTATTTATCAAAAATTGCTTCTCAGCCTTTGGCTAAGATCGAGTATTTATTTATCAAAAGTTGTAACATTTGGTTGGATGTGATCAACTGCATATTTATATCAAAAAAATTTAATTATCCCAATTAATGGTATTAATGCAGAATTTTTTAAAGTTACAGACTTACTAAGGTAAGAAACAGAAAAAATAAATTGAATTTATATAAATATTTTTGTTTCATAGGAGTATGAAGTACCCAAGAAAAGCCATAACAGAAATTACATTTTCAATGAGAGATATAATATAAAATTTTTACTGTGTAAGAAGATTGTGTTCAAGTATTTTTATTTAATTTTTTACTTGTTCCATTAATTAGTTAATTAATTATTTTAAAGATGGGGGTCTTGTTATGTCCCAGGCTGATCTTGAACTCCTGGGCTCAAGCAATCTTCCTGCCTCAAGCTCCCAAGTAGCTGGGACCCTAAGTGCATAGTCAGGTCAAGTATATTTTAAATTAATCAAAGTGGGCACTAAATTACAGCAGAACTTATAGCCAATTGATGCTTTGAACAGACCGGTGTAACCATTTTATCTTAACATATCACAACTTAAAATACATTGGAAGTATGCGTCTATTTAAACTGATAACAAAATAATTTCTATGTCAACCTTACATTGTTCAAGGAGATAAAAAGTTTTTCAAAATTACAGTATATAACACGTGAACAAAAGCAACTTTAGACTACTAAACTGCTTTAATCATCTTTAGATAGGCAATAATTTCAAAGTAAAGTCTAGAAAGACAGCTACTTCATAGTAAAATAATATGAAATAATTTCTTTAAAGCCCAATACAACAGAAAACAAATACTTAGAAAACTTATTGCTTTTAGGCAAAGGACTTACCTTTCAATTCTTTAAAAAAAAACTGACATTTTAATTCTATTTAAAATAGCTCAAAATGACACCTTTATAATCAATATTGTATTTACTTAAAGGAACTAAAAGGCAATCTCCAGATGGCTATTTGAAATCACCAGGAAAAAAACTAAAATACAGAGGATGCCAACAATATACATATACGTTTTAAGAAAGGAAAAAAATACTAGAATTTTAATAAATACTCAATATATACTGATAACAAAAGGTCAATGCAAATCATTTTGACTGCCTCTTGTAATCGTAGAAGTCAAACATGGGAATTCAGAATCACAAATTTAATACAGTTTTTTCCTTTCTTAAAATGGTTATACATTTTTGGCACCTTGTGTGTGTGTGTACATATGTAAATTAAAAATCCTTGTTACTATAATGCTTACATAGTGACTTTTATTACAATCTGGATTTTTTTTACTCAGTTATCAAGCTATTTTTAAGTAAACATCATGGCTGCCAGTAAGGACTCTTGTTCTATGGTTCAAGTTTCCTCTGTCTTAAATGTACCCTTAGATTAAGATTAAACCCAGAATCTCTCAGATCTGAAATGTGTGACGGGCTTGCAAAAAACTTGTCCCGTCTCTAAACTGCTCATTGCTCTTCTAGTGGCCCATTTGCCAAGAGATGCATGGTCTAAGGTCAGATGATTGTTACAAAAAACAAATGAGGCTAAGAACAAAAGCAGAATGTACAAAATCATTGCTTATTTCTTAGGTTTGCCAGCTGGTATGCTTAGGCTAAGGCAAGATAAATAACAGTAGGGGGAGGAGAGATTCTCCAGCCCTTTTCTAGCGTTCTGTTTGTTCATTTGTTTGCTTTAATCACCAGCATGGCTGGCACAGGCAAAGAGGTCAAGGGCAAGGAACTACCGTGTATACCTGGAAAGCCAGGCTGCGTCCAGAAGTTCTACTTACGCGACTCTCAGCGTCTCTAGTCTCCAAAGGGAACGTGCGTGAACAGATATAGCACCGCCTTCAAAATGAACAGTTCTGTTTGAACAAACAAACAAAAAAAAGCCCTTTTAAGTTTAACACGTTTCATTCTTTGGACTCTTGTTTTTCAGGTTAATTAAGAGAAAAACAAACAGGAAAGCGTGTGGATAAAAAAGTCACACTTTCTGGCAGGAGATAATATAGCTGGAAATAAAAATAACCAAAACGACAATAAAAGCGATCGTGGTAAGTTTGTCCTGAACAAACACTGGTTTAATTGATTTAAACATACTCTCTCTTGTCACATTCTCCCTTTAAATGCATTCATTCACTTCTCTCTCTCTCTCTCTCCCTCCCTCACTCTGTTTTGTTCCCTCCCAGCAAATAGATTGAAGTTACTCATCCAACTTACGTCTAGGAAAGAGCTCAGTTATGAGTTTAATATATTATTATTTCCAACACATGTATATAATTATTGTCCATTCCAAATGTTTTTTTAGATTTGAAAAGTATTTAAAGAAATGTATGAAGACCAATTCTGAATATTTTAACATAGTAATCTGCAACTTACATCAAAATGTAAACATTAAGAAGAGTCACACAAAAGGAACTTATTTGGATGCATAATCACACGATACCCCAATTCTGAAACTCTCATAATAATAATCTGTTAATATGCCGTACACGATGCTAGGAATACGTTATCCACATTGAAGTCCACGCCAAACCTTTGAGATTGTTCTAGGGAAACCAAAGCTTATGCATGTTCAGCCCTGTTCCTTCCCAAGCGTTCACTTCTTCCCTTTCCATAGTTTCCGTCTCGTCTTTTAAGTACATGCAAACCTGTCCTGTCTCAAACGTCCTAATACCAGGCATGGCCATGCTCTCCTCTCTTTTCCGACTCACTGTAGATTCTTGTCAGTTCCTGGTGTACCCCAAACTGCTTCCAGACCCATTTTCCACTGAGCCAGATCTCGCTAAGGTCATCAGATGATCTTCACATTACCAAATCCAATGAACTTATTATTACTTTTGTTAACACTGTGGAAACTTTTACCATCTTGACATTTTTTCTAACACTGTTCTCTTCTGCTTGTCCTTCTACCTGTTCAGGTATTTCTTCTCATTCTATTTTTACTGTGGAAATTTTCAAATATATACAAAAGAGAATGTTAAAATAAGCTCCCACATGCCCAGCACACAGCTATAGTAATGATTAACACACAAATAATACTGCCTTACCTATAACCTCCAGTTACCCTTTCACGTACAACTCTAAAATGTTATTTGATATGATAAAATATCTAGTCAGATATTCCCATATTGTTCAAATTTCCCATATTGTCTCACAAACATTCACTCATTATGAACTAAGAGTTTTAGATATGCCAACAGCCAGGTCCACAGCAGAGATTTTCATTCTTGGCTAAGAATGAAAGAATGAAAGAATTCTTAAGAATTAATTCATTCTTAATGAATCATGTAAGAGCTTTCTAATCATAAACAATAAAATTCAGAAACAAATCCTAAAAAAAATGCAAAAATATTAACAACTCAGAATATTAAGACACTCTCCTATGTAATTCATGGATCTACGGGAGAATCAAAATCATACTCCATCTTGAATTTAATGAAGGGAAAATCATTTTATTACAAATCTTTGATTCACAGGCAAACTGAATATTTAGCCTTCAAGCTCTTAATTATTAGAGGAAAAAAAACTATGAAAATAAAGAAACTAATGAGTTGTCTGAAGAGATAAAATAAAGAACAAAATAAACCAACAGAATCATAGAGGAAGAGACTCCATGATGCACTGTCAAGTGACAAAAATAAGGAGTGTAAATAATGTACATTTTCTATAGAACCATATATCATTGTGAATTTATCATAGAGGGCCAGGTATGGTGGTTCAGGCTTGAAATCCTAGCTTGTTGGGAGGCTGAGGAAGAAGGATCTCTTGACACCAGGAGTTTGAGACCAGCCTGGGCTACATAAAAAAATCCCCATCTCTACAAAAAATAAAAAATAAAAAACAGATAGAGTGGCACCTGTGGCTCAAAGGAGTAGCGCGCTGGCCCCATATACTAGAGGTGGTGAGTTCAAACTCAGCCCTGGCCAAAAACTGCAAAAAAAAATAATAATAATAACCCCAAAATAACTAAATAAATAAATAAAATTAGCCAAGCATGGTGGTATGCACCTGTAGTTCCAGCTACTTGAGACGCTGAGGCAGGAGGACTCCTTGAGCCCAGGAATCTGAGGTGCTTTCTGATGATGCCTCAGTACTCTAGCTTGGGCAATAGAGACCCTGTCTCATGTCTCAAATAAAACTATAATATATATGTGTATAGGCAGATGTACATCTCTATGAGAAAGAGGTGACTAAAGAATAAACTATTAATGTTAATGACATAAAAGGTATAGAAGAATTCAGCTTGAAAATTAATAAATGGTCTCTAAGATACAAATGGCATAAATAATATGTTTTTGTAAAATTATACATGTTTATAAGCAATAAAGCATGTGAAGAAGAATGGATAATCCTCAAAGAATTCAATTAGACCTCCTATTTGACACCACAATGCCACTACCGGGCATCTACTCAGAAGAAAAAAAATCATTTTATCATAAAGACATTTGCACTAGATTGTTTATTGAGCTCAATTTACAATCAGCAAGATGTGGAAATAATCTAAATGCCTTCAACTCAGGAATGGATTAACAAACTGTGGTATATGTGTACTATGGAACACCATTCAGCCATAAAAACAATGGAGACTTTACATCTTTTGTATTAAACCTGGATGGAGTTGACTCTTCTTTTTTTTCTCTCTAATAATTAAGAGCTTGAAGGCTAAATATTTTCAGTTTGCCTGTGAATCACAAATTTGTTATAAAGAAGAATGGAGTACATTCTTCTTAGTAAAGTATCACAAGAACAGAAAAGCAAGTATCCAACATACTCAGTACTAATAAGAAGCCAAGAGATGATCTAATATAGGCCTGTGTAAGAGAAAAAACACCATTCAATCCAAGTTGGGGAAAGGGAGGACAAGGTGAGGGGAAGAGGGGCCAGGATGGCTGTGTTCCCATTTAATGAGCCCAATGTAAGGCTAGGAGTTGAAAGAGGAACTCTACCTAACATATGCAAATATTATAACCTAGTTGTACCCTCACACTAACCTGAAATTTTAAAAAAAAATTTAAAAGCATGCAAAAGATTATCATGCACATATTTTACTCTTTCATAACTTTTATCATTTAAATTTAACGTAAGCAGAAATCTAATGGTATTTTAAATTACAATTTAAAAACACAAAGTCAAAAGGAAAGTCAGGTCTTCCTCCCTACTTGAAATATTCTTAGCTTTCCCTGAAAAGCTCTTGCAATTTGAATTATTTCTCTTCATGTTTTAAAAAGTATTTCATTGGCAGGTGTAGAGAATCTGAAGATTTCTTTCAATAATTTATTGCTGATTGGGGAATTCTTTGCTATTCTATAGAGTTTCCTCAAATGCATGCAGGTCATGTACAGAATGTCAATGATTACCTAATCCAGTCTTCATGGACTATTTCAGACTGGGAATGGGTACCACATTATCAAGATCTTAAATAAATAAGATCTCCATCCATCCTAAATGACTCTCCAGGTAAACTTATTTAGAAATCAGACTACGGAGAGGCATGCGCTTGTTTGATGAAGGGATTTTCTCTATTCCCTGCAATGCATCTCAATTATCCAATCACAGTCCAGAAGACACTAAATGTTATTACCATCTCTGCATTCACACAACTAAATTACCATCTTCAGGGCAAGCTCCCTTTCCAAAAGGAAGATTGGTACTGGAGAAAGATTCTCTTAAAACTTAAACAGAAAACTCAATTTAAAGAAAAAAGAGAAAAGAAACTAACCAGTTGGTTAACTAACTAGCAATGGTAGCAACAGCACTGTTTGAGCTGATCAGCATAGGGGATTTTAACACCAATGGCAGCAATGAAGTCAAACCCAGGTGGAGGCCAACAGATAGAGAATATTTAAAAGTGCTCATGAAGCACCCTGTTCACTTAATACCGGCTTTGCAATATAATGCCTACTAAGAAAAAGAAAATGTGTTGAAAGAACTGGACATTGATATTTCTAACTTTTTTTTTTTTTGCAGTTTTTGGCCAGGGCTGGATTTGAAGCTGCCACTTCCGGCATATGGGGCCAGTGCCCTACTCCTTTGAGTCACAGGTGCCTCCCACTAACAGAATTTTTTCAATGAAACATCCACCTCATAAATCAGAAAAAAATCAAACACATACGTGTAATAACCAGCAGAACGAGCTTGTTCAACAATACTTTGAAAAATTCTAGCCTCTAGCTGTTATGACGCCCTAACACATTATCCGCCAATATAGTAAATTTCATTAAAGAACTCATATTTCAACCTGATCACATCAAACTGCCTGAAGAGGCCCTTTACGGTTATTCTAAGTAGGAATTCTTCCTAATATTTCATCCACTCCACTTATAACTACGTGTATAATGTCCACCAAAACAAAAGTAGCTAGCAATTTCTGTATTTTGGGCTATAAAACACAATTCCGGTCTTAGTTGTCAAACCACTTGTTTCTCAGTAAAAAGCAGGCGCTCTGACAGCCAGGATAGTTCATCTTCAGAGTCTGAGGCCCAGAAAAGACCAGCATTAGCATATTAATAAAAGCACAAATCCTTACAAGCTCTTCACAGCCTGACAGTCTGGCATATATTTATAATAAAATTTTATAGAATACACAATTCTAATTAGTGGACTTTAGTACAGAATCATAAAACACATAACTAATAAAAGAGTTGACACCATAAAGAGATGCCTCCACCCTGCACAGACGCTGCTATCTGTCACCATGAGCCCTGGCAAATGGCATCTTAACTAGATGGTACCACAGTTCACAGCTTGATTTTTTGCAGGGCACCGAGAAACTGATGACTCACTTTCATATCTGATTGTTACTAACTTTCTGGAGATGTCACTTCCTCGCTTGAGTAGAAAACGGGCATGATTTTCATTGGGT